TTTCCAATAGCAGGTCACCCCCTGGTTAAGCATAACTCCAGGGTAAACATAGTAATTGGATACGCTTACCCTCGAGTTAAAACCAACCCGAAGGTGACTCGCTATTGAGAAACCAACCCTTAATTGAGCATTTAATTTTTTTGTCGATATATCGAAATATCGATATTTTTCAACGATAGATCAAACGCTCGATACAATATTAATTTTAAATATCGATATGATATATATCGATATTTTTTTTCGATATCAACATCCCTAAATCAAAATGACAGTGAAATTACGTGATGTTGCCGGCTTGTAGAAATTGAAGCGCGTTAGGTTTAAAACAAAAACTTTACAAAATGACCATCAATATATCTTTTCAATAATAGTATATTACAATCCGAGACGGAAAATACTTCATTGCTGGTCGAGAGGTTATTATAGTTTATCGAGACGCGAAGCGTCGAGATAAACTCAACCTCGAGACAGAAATGAAGTTTTCCGTCGAGGTTTGTATACTTTTTTATTTTCAACCCTTAATTTTCTGATGCAAAAACTAAAGATTCTGTTATACGAAATTTTCATATAGTGTAAAACTGGCCTTAGAAAAAAATATTTCACTTTTTTTGTCAATGTCATCAATTTTGACGATCTCAAAGGCCCTGTAAAGGCCAAAACAAAAGACGAAACCACAGGAAACCGCAAAATCAACAACCATAGATAAGATCAACAACGCCTTAACGACGGTAGTTTTCGCTCAGTATTTTTGCGGAAATAATAGATTTTCACTAGATTTCTCCCCGTTCTCCCCAAAGAAATGATTTCGGAAAGTGAAGATGAAGCGATGGATTGTACCCCACCTGAATTAAAAGAAGCAGCAGACAGGATTGGAGAGAGTTTGCTTCCAGCAAAAAGCAAATTTCGGTACGAAAAGGCTTTTCAAATATTCGAAGCATGGTGTAGCCAGAAAGGAACGAGAAATACTGCCTCGGAGACCGTTTTGTTGGCGTATTTTGGCGAATTATCTAAGGAAAAGAAGCCTTCGACTTTATGGTCGACTTACAGTATGTTGAAAACCATGATTAAATTGAAAGAGAAAGTTGATATCTCCAATTACGCAAAACTTATAGCTTTTTTGAAGCGGCAAAATCTGGGCTTTCAGCCGAAAAAGTCGAGCGTTTTTTCCAGAGAAAACATTAACGAGTTCCTCACGAAGGCAGCTGAAGAATTCATTAGCATCAAGGTAGGTTTTCAAAAAATATACAAAGAAGATAAAAATGCGAAAATCAAAATGATTTTCTGTATGCTATAGCTAGGTTACCCATTTTATTTTTATCTGGTTTCAGGTAGCGTTAATTGTTGGTGTGTCGGGTGCATGTAGGAGCGATGAACTAGTCAAGATGAAAATGGAGCACGTCAACGTTTTGGAAGGAAAGATCGCTATAGAAATTCCACACACAAAAACTTACACAAGTCGATCGTTTATCATAAGCGATCCAGATTGGGTTGCTATTTTCCACAAATACCTCACTTTGCGGAAAAATTTGAAAAATGACAGGTTATTTGTTCAATGGCGAAATGGGAAATTACATAACCAAGCAATTGGCTATCATTCAATCTCAAAATTTCCACATAAAATAGCTGCTTTTTTGAAGCTTCCAAAAATTGAAACTTTTACAGGGCATGCTTTTCGTCGTACTTCCGCAACCTTATTGGTTGACAACGGGGCCGATCTATTGCAACTCAAAAGACTGGGAGGGTGGAAATCGAGCACGGTTGCTGAAGGCTACATAGAGGCATCTTTGGAGAACAAAAGTAAGACTGCTCTGATGCTATCCTCTACTTCCAAAGGTATTCAGTTGTCCAGTGCATCCACAAGTACATCACATGCGGAAACTCATCCGCAAGCGCAAGAGATAATAGTTCCAAACGAAACACAATTCCAACAGGATGGTCTCAAGATTTCCATTATAAACAACAATGCTAATTTAACAATTAATGTAAATAAGTGAATAGATTTAATTAGTTCCATGTAATACATGTGGTTTTATTATTATATGTGAGAGCTGTATGAAAATTATCAATTTGGAACGAGCAGGGAAATGGGGACGGAAAAGCATTTGCCGTCCCGGACGGAAAATGCTTTTCCGTCCTAGGCAGGCATATGCATTACCGTCCCGATAAATGTCAAAGTCCAGAAATGTGACACTTTCAAGATTTTGAAAAACCTGCAATGTCAACATTACATATGTGGTTGAAAATAAATAACTTGAGTCCTCGGCTGCATCAAATATTATGTTAATTAATAATGAAGAAATTGAATCTCAGTTCTAATGAAATCGAGATTATTCATGATTCTTTCCTGTATAGCGCGATAAAGACCGACACTTGACAACAATGTTTAGCGCATGCGTAACAGAATTATTCTAATTTGAAAAGGGGTCTGTTGGACGGTTATACAAGCCTTCCGGACTGTAAATTTGAACCGTAAGATTGGTTTGACCATCTAACCACAAACAGTAGCCAGGACTAATCTGGTTGATTGTATCTACTGCTACCATCTGGAACATTTTGGTATCGTACTAGCTTTAATTATCCTATCTATATTTTTTTGTTTATTTACATTCTGTCCCCATTTTGTACGCCAAAGTGATCACTAAGGTATTTCAGGGAGTAATTCAGTGCTTGTTCCAATTGTGGCAAATGAATTATTAATAAAGGTAATTTAGCTAGACAGCTAATTCAGTTGTTATTTATGTCAACTTACTTGTAGTTCTGGTTACATCAGTGTAAGATAACCGTTCCGAGAACTAATTCTTTATTTATTGTTTTTCTTATTTCTTTTTATTTTATATTTTCATTGTTAATCTTAATTTAGACTAGAGCGAGCCGGCAGTTCTCATGTGCTTATGTGTGGCCGGCTTCATTTTGTCATAAACCTAAGTGTGTGTAACGTTCGAATCGAACGTGTAATAAAGTAGTAATAGAGAGTTCTCGTGCTGTCCAAATTTCAAATACCGTAACGGTATTTGACAAGTACCTATAACAGTTCTTACGGTAATAGCGTTAGCGGGGCCCACTACCTAACGGGAGTTAGCGGATGCCTTACCGTAACGCTATGCTATATCAAAATTAGTTTACGCTCCATTTAGGTATGCAAGAACAGCAACTCCTGATAATTCCACCATAAAAATCACATAGAAAAATTAATTAAACTCAGGAATTTTCAGGATAAATAAAAGTTGGCAAACAAGCAAAAAAAGTTGAGTTAGATCACTCAGTTCAGCTGCCAAAATGTAAACATAATAAGGGATTAGAGGATTTTTGTGTCTTCATGTCCGAGAACTATAAAATACCATTTAAAATACTGTATTGTTAGCGGTACCGTATTAGCGTAGTGTCTGAGGCACGAGAACTTTCTATTATATCACATCATAAAGTTCGTGTACTCTTTATTTGGCCTTACCCCAAGGTAATGTAACGGATTATAGCGGGATTGCTTAACTCACTAAAGTCTGTTTTTTTTTTTAAAGATAATTCCCCAACTCAAAAATTTAGTAACTATGTTGGCAACACAAGCCTTTTCTACATAAAAAAATTGGAAGCATTGACAATTTTACATTGTATTGCCAACACAATGTCATTTTGACTTTTATCTTTAAAAAAAATAGTATATTACATACCGAGGTGGAAAGTGTTTCATTACTGTCGAGAGATTTAAGTTAGACCGAGGCGCAGCCGAGGTCTAACTGAAATCTCGAGACAGTAATGAAACTTTTCACCGAGGTATGTATACTATTTTATTTACAATCATTCGAATTTTGAAATTTTCATTTTGATTAAAACTAAAAAATACAATAATTAACAATTTCATTTACTTTCGGCCCACGGGTCGAAAGTTTACTTTCGACCCGTGGGCCGAAAGTAAAAGTCAAAAAATACAATCAATTTTAAAAATTTCATTACCTTTCGGCCCACGGGTCGAAAGTAAAAGTCAAAAAAGTGACATTTTCGAACTTTTTAAAAGTCAGTAAAGTCAACATTACATGTATGATTGTAAATAATAGTATATTACATACCGAGGTGGAAAGTGTTTCATTACTGTCGAGAGATTAGTTAGTTAACTGAGACGCGAAGCGTCGAAGTTAACTATAATTTCGAGACAGGAATGAAACTTCCTACCGAGGTTTGTATACTATTTTATTTACAACAATTACAACCCTTATAATTTCGACTAAATACTAAAAAAAAAAAAAATTTGTTGACAAGTTCTGACTCATTTAAAAAAACGTTTGACATGCAGGACTCGCCTTAAACATTTTAGGAAATATGAACTTACTTTCCACCCGGGTGGAAAGTGAGCACTTTCCACCCGGGACCACTTTCCACCCGGGTGGAAAGTAAAATTCAAAAAAGTGTCACTTTCAAACTTTTGAAAAGTCAGAAATGTCAACATTACGTATGTGGTTGTAAATAAAACAGATTTTACCTACTTAACAAGAACAGTAAACTGACTCTCAAAAACAAATTGATACTATACAAACAAGTGATCATACCTTCATTTACGGTGGACCAGTTTTCTCACAGACATCACATTACAATAAAAACAAACTGCAGGTGTTTCAAAACAAGGTAATCCGTAGGATGGTCGGCGCTCCGTGGTATGTTCGCAATGCGGACCTACATACGGATCTGGATTGCCACAATCCAGGAATACCTTGTTGGAAAACATACTAGGTTTCTTGACACAGTTACTATCAACCCTGACAGAACTACTCTCAAAAATCTAAAAGCTCCGCTTCTTTTCTAAGGAATGAAATCTTTTTCCCTTCTTTCCTATCCCATCCCCAGAAGAATAAGAAGAAAAATACTCAGGAAGTATAAAAGTTTGGCGATGTTTCCTGTTTGAAACTAGCTGTACTCAATTTTCATCAACTTTTACCACTAAAAACAAGTCTTGCCTTGCAGTTTAGTTTGGAAGTTTTTGTCTGAAAAATAATTGAAAGAAAGAACTGATGAAATCTTTATTTTTTATTGACATCTTTAGTACAAAAATACTTAATACAAACAAACTTAAATTCCATTGAGGTCAACTAACATTTTTATAGAAAACTAATATCAAAATCCTAAAAACTAACTGGAAAATGGCACCTATTTCGAATTCAATCCTATTGTGACATTATTTATTGAAGTAATTTTCATACAAAAATACAAAATACAAGATCCAAAGAAAAATAAATTCTATTAAGGACTGACTTTCTAATGTTGACATAAGTAGGTACACAATAAACAAACTGGAATTCCATCCTGGTCAATACAGATATTTATCTGTAGAAAAACCTTCAGACAAAATCTCGGAAACGAGCTTGAAGATGGCGTTTTCACTACACCACTACCAACCTTATTAACCTGAGAATAATTCCCGATTTTTCATAACAGTTTTTTTTTTTTTTTGGTACAAAAATCTTAAAATTACAAGCCTGAACTTCAATAAGGGTTGACTTTTCAGAGTAAAAATACTCAAACTACCTAACATTTATGGAACAATGAATACTTTTTACAAAAATCTCTGACCACCTGTGACTGACTACCACTCTGTGAACTGTTAAATTTTATCACAATTTTCTTTTTGATACAAAAATATATGAGTTTATGAAATTCAAATTTTATTAGGAGTTCACATTTTAAAGTAAGGATATTCCAACTAAACAAACTTAAAAACAGATCAATGCATATTTTCAAGAAATTTGAATCAAAATGTCAGAAACGATGCTCCTTGAACTGATCTTTTGTATACAAATAAATACTCATCCTAACTAAACAAACTAAACTTCTATTCTGGTCAAGCACCAAGGAACATATTTACAAATAAGTTATCTCTCAATAATTCGAACCACTTGCTAAAAGATGGCGCGTTGAACTACCATCTCCTCCACCTCCACCATCTTGATAACCAAGCTGACGACTGCTACAGACTTCAACCTCCATTTTGGAAATCACTTTCAGCACTGCCACTTTGGCCTTACAGACAAATGGCCGCGGAAATGACGTCACTGTGCATGCTACGCTTTGGAAAAACGTTTCAACAGGTTCGTGTTGGGTTCTTGGGGTTCTAACCTGTAATGCTGATGATGATGGAGTAGGTTGATCGGCTTGTGATTTTTTCTTCTTTTTGGCCAAAGGTTCGTAATTTTCGTCGTGGTCTAGATCTAATGATTCTGGATCTAATAATTCTGGTTGGTCAAGTTCGTCTGAGGCTTCTGCTTCTTCATCATCCACATTTTCAATTTTAATCCTTGGTTCAGTTACTGTACTTGCCGCAGTAAGATTTTCGGGTGTTCTGAAACAATTTTTTTAATTAAAATAATTTTCAATTACTTTTTGTCAATGAGGAAACAAAGTGTTACAATTGCGGCATAATTGATGATAGGAAGATGACCATGGCAAACATAGGTAAGTGGGATATTTGGATTTGAGAAAAAAAAAAGATCAAGAAACGGACCATAAACTATTATCTATTCACAATCTGTAGTCCAAAGGTACAGGTAAAATTTATCACCTTTCAATGCTATTTGATAGGGAAAGGTGATAAATTTACCCGTACCTCGTACCTGCGGACTACAGATTGTGAATAGGATATGTAGGTATATGATTTAGTTTAGAGTTATCTGAAAATGAAAGCGATGGTAGACACCTACAACATTTAAATCACACGATTATGTTTTAAAGAGTCTCAATGCTAGTATTTAATTAACATTTAAAAAACAAGATAGAGATATCAACAAGTCAACATATTTTGAGAGAGATCTCTGTTCCGTATTTGTGAATTGATAACTTATCAATGTACTATTCAAAGACCCTTTACTTTTTATCAAGAAAATGTCCAATGTTGCACAGATGTTTCTGTTTCTATTACCTGATTGGTTCCTTCATCTGTTCTCCAATGGCTTCCATTTCCATATTGCTGACCACTCGTAGCACCTCCGATTTAATTCTGCTGACAAAAGATGGCGGTAAAGTCATAACGGTCTTGGCCATACTATCGAAAAACATTTGAATCGATTGACGTCCCAATTCGCTTATTTGTTCGACCTTTTTCTGAGGTTCGACCGTTTCCGGAGAAATATTGGCCGGTTGATCCAAGGGTTCCTCCTTTATAATTGGCAATAATGGCAATGTTGGTGGTTCTTCATGGATATCCGATGTTGATTCTTCATGGATATCCGATGTTGATTCTTCATAGATATCCGATGATGGTTCTTCATGGATATCCGATGTTGGTAGATCATTTTCGCGTTTTAAAGGTTCCTCTTTGATTTCGACTTCGGTCGATTCATCTACGTCGGTGGGTTGATGGACTGGCACTAAGTCAGGAACATCTGGTTCTGATTCTTCTTCCAAAGAGCTGAAACAAAAAGATAACAAGGGTTATTATCACCAAAAGTTCCATGGACTTTTTTAACACATTTATCAAGCCTGACAAGTCATAGAGGGGATGGGAAAATTTTCTGTTTCGGCACTGCCAATAAATAATTGAAGAACAATAAACATTAAAGACATTTTATTATGAAAAAAATATATTTTCAATTTTAATCTAGTCTAAGTAACATTCTGAAATCCATGGGTGTAAAGTCGCAGATTTTGACAACGAAGTACTTAAGCGTTTTTCTCAATAAATATCATCATACTCGGTATCCTTCATCACTTCATTGCGTTCATGTAAAAAGGTGCTATAATTGTAATATCAATTAGCTTAATAAGTAACTAGTGCGGTGGATGCATTGGCCTGAGAGTCGAAACATTATACATATTTTGCTATGACATAAGGTATTCAGTACCTATGTAATCAAGTTTACCTCTGGGAATAGGTCTTCACTTTCACTATCTTTCTGTCAGCATTACTCGAAGAAGATTCTTTAGAGGTTTTAACCCGATTATTCCAGCTGTAACATAAAATTAATTATTGTTAAAAATATGAAAGTAATGAAATATCAAAGTCACGTGCTTTGGGATAATAAGTAGTTGATAGCTTATTAAATATTCGACACATCTCTAGGTACAGGGTGATCTATTATAAATGTTACTCCCTGCTAACTTTTTCATTTGACGTTTTTGACAGAAGTGTCAAATACAAAAGCAAACAAAAGTTTTAAGAAATTGTAAAAAGTTTTCAAGTAAGTGATTTTTAGGCATACAGGGTGCGTTAAAAAAATGCAGCAGTGTGAAGTTATATTTTTTTAAATGGAACACCCTGTATATTGTGCACTTATTTGTAAGTCCGCTTTAACCTGATTTCAACGATATACGATTTGATTTGTTCATCTCTTGGATTATCTTCAATAGTTATAGGGAAAAACGCGAAAATCCCTTCCTAGGTATCTCATGTTATTTTTTTTTTTTAAATAATAATTATTACTTAGACATCTGGATTTATCATGATATTTCACCTTGTATATTAATGAATAAAATTTGAACAATAATAGTAGATTATACCACGAGTCAATAATAGCCATCATAGGCGCCGGAACTTCAAAATTACTATGGGGGCTCGGGCTTCAAAAAAAAACAAGTTAAATTATACAGACGGGACCAGTAGGCTACTAGAAACATAGGCTTAAAATGGGAGCAGTTGACTGATAGACATTTCACTGCAGGATCGCCACGCTGCATTGATCCTCTCTGCATATTATTGAAATTCGTGATCGTGAATCTTCGGCAGCTCGGCAATACTTCATAATATTTATATTCATGTGATGTAAACATATAAAAAAAAAACGAAAAGAATATAATGGTCGCGTTCACCAGCACTCAACATATTGTGTGCTGGTGAACGCGACCAATAATCCCAATCCGACTTTTTGAAAATACAGCTAAATACTTCACAACAAAATATTCAAATTTATTGTTAAAGTAGGTATAGCAAAAACAACAAAAACATAAAACGAACAAATTTGACATAAAAATAAATCATTGGCAACTCAATATTGTTGTACAGGATGATCTAGTATAAATGTCACTTCCTCCTAACTTTATCATTTCACGTTTTTGACAAAAGTGTCACATACAAAAGTTTCAAGAAATTGTCAAATTTTTTTAACTAAAACCGAATTTTCGCGACGAACTACTTCCATAATTTCACGAAAACAAACGCTTTCGCAAGATACTCATGCATGACGTCATATTGAACGTAGTTCGACGGAAGCATGGATGCAGCTTCTAGCTAGCGTTCAAACTCATGACGTCACAGACGAACTATGGTTCGTTCTTGGACGAACTACATTCGTCGCGAAAATTCGGTTTAAGTCAGTATCAAGCATACAGGCTGAGTTAAAAAAGTGTAGCAGAGCGAAGTTATATTTTTTTAAATGGAACACCATGTATATTGTGCGCTTATTTGTTAGTCTCTTTCAAACTGATTTCAACGATATGTTTGCACAGCAATCACAAACCAGTCAGACCGAATTTCATTGGTTGAAAACAGTCAGAAAATTAGTCTCAAATAAATTCAGTAATCAGTTGTCTAAATAAGTTATTAATATTTGAAAAAAATAACAAGAGACCCATAAAGAGGCTTTCGCGTTTTTCCCTATACCTATTAAAGATAAACATATCAAATCATATGTCGTTGAAATCAGGTTGAAGGGGTATTAACAAATAAGTGCACAATATACATGGTGTTCCATTCAAAAAAATATAGCTTCGCTTTGCTACACTTTTTTGACGCACTGTGTATGCTTAAAACTAACGTAGCTAAAGACTTTTAACAATTTCCTAAAGCCACCTTAAAGCTTCTGTATTTGACACTTGTCAAAAACGTCAAATTGAAAAAGTTAAGACGGGGTGACATTTATAATACTGTTATTTATATTACTGTTTCACTTGTACTTTGGCCATCCTTTTTTAACAAATAAAAATAGACTGGAACAAACTAATGACGTCAAAAAAGTTAATCTGTTTTTAAACCAGAAGTCATTCAATATAATACAAAATCAACGCTTATGAATTTATATGAATCAATCTACGACAAATAGTTTTCTCCAAGTTATGACTATATCGAAGTTATAAATATAAACCCTCGTGTGATGATCCTTAGATCACCCTGTACCTACGCACTAAACTCACTACATATAATACCAAAATCACTATGGGGGCTCTGCCCCCATAGCAAATTCACTACGGGGGCTCAAGCCCCCATTGCCCCCATGGTTCCGGCGCCTATGATAGCCATTATTGCGAGTAGTATACTCTACTTTATTTACGACAAATTAATTTATTTGAGATTTTTAATGAACAAATTTCATCCATCTCAATACAAAACCAGTAAAACCACAAGCACTACACGTTTGACACTGACACTTTTGAGGAATAATGACAATTAATCCCGCTTCTGGTCATTATTCTCTGAGGGAATAACATATGTCATTATACTGCCAAAATCATAAGTATAATACTTACATTAGTCGTAAATAATAGTAGATTATACCACGAGTCAATAATGATAGCTATTATTCCCGAGGATTATTACGAACTGAGCCGCGTTAGCGGCGAGGGAGTAACATTCCGAGGGAATAATAGCCATTATTGCGAGTAGTATACTCTACTTTATTTACGACCAATTAATTTATTTGAGATTTTCAATGAACAAATTTCATCCGTCTCATAATTTTCAATACAAATCCACAAGCACTACACGTTTGACACTGACACTTTTGTGGAATAATGACCATTAATCCCGCTACTCGTCATTAATCCCTGGAGGAATAACATATGTCATTATACTGCCAAAATCAAAAATATAATACGCACATTATACATTAGTCGTAAATAAAATATTTAAAAAAAAATCTCTAAAGCTTAAATGGTATAATTTTTCTTTTTTCAATATGAATCCTTGAAAAGGGTTTTCATGTTTTTCCCTATAACTATTGAAGATAGACATATCGAACCCTATATTGTTGAAATCAGGTTAAAAGGGACTAACAAATAGGCGCACAATATACAGGGTGTTACATTTAAAAAAAAAAACTTTACACTGCTGCATTTTTTTGACGCACACTGTATGCCTAAAACTGACGTAGTTAAAAACTTTCGACAATTTCTTGTAACTTTTTTATTTGACACTTTTGTCAAACATGTCAAATGAAAAACTTAGAAGGGGGTGACATTTATAATAGATCACCCTGTACTTATGCATAAGCATTCAGCAATATCTCACGAAAATTTTCAATTGCCATTATTTTATTTATGTAAATCAAAACACTCACCTTCTTTTCCCAATTAACTTTCTACTTTTTCTAGGAGCACTCATTTTAATCCTTTTAGTTCCCATTTTCTTAGATCACATACACAAATATTACAATATACGACTGCCGGTACAAAATACGATGTGACCTATCTAGTTATGAAGTTTCAAACTCGTACTATTGAGTATTGACCTGAAATAAAATCAGTAGAAGAACAAAAGAGTGTTTAAAATCTGTCAGTTGAAATTCTCGGAAACCTGCATAATATTCTTCTGCATTGGGTTATATTTTAACAATAAGCCGTAAAACATAATGAAGGTAGGTAATTAGGTATGTACTACAGTTCGTCTTCTTTGTAATTATAGGATAATACTAATGTTATTCGTGAAATCCTTTTACCGGCACATGATTCCATCGGATAAAGTACAAAGAAAGCATGGGAAGGATAACCTTCTGAGGCTCAGATCTTGCTTATATTTACATCAAAAACATTACCACTTCTTAGAAAATTCTAGGAATTTTCTAATGAACCAATTTACTTCAAATTTTCACACTATAGGGACAACGCATTAGTAAAAGTGCCCTATCATTTTATTTTGTGGAAATTCTGGAAAATATGAGTGCAATAATTTTTTGAACTTGGGTGATTCTTTACCTACTTCAAACATGTCATTTCCGGTTTAATAATCGATTTGAATAAAAATTAAATCAAATGTTTTTTTGTATGACTTTTTTCTTTCAATAGTCTTGGACAAGTGGTTTGTTTAGCCACAGTTTATTACCAAAAGAGTCCCCTTTTAATATCGTCTATTGTAAAATAGTCCTTACAATCATTATTGAGAAGCATTCCAACTTAACTGAAAGACAAACTAAGCTTAGTTAAACTTAATATACACATAGATAATGAGAGAAACAAAATATATGACATCTTAATTAGGCAATTTAAACCACGTGACATTCAAGATGGCGTGGCGGCCACACATGGTCCAAAAAACACAAAAAAAATTCTAGTTTCTGCCCGACTTAATATTTTACGTACCTAGTAAGCAAATATTTTATTGAATAATCAAAATCAAAGCTGCAAGCAAAGCTCGAAGCAAAATAATTACAATATGCATAAAAACACATATTCAAAACAAACTTGCTGGCCGCCACGCCATAT